TTGTAAAGCAAAATCTTTGACCTCAAGCGCTATCTTCACCTCCCCTTTCGGGTGAAGACGAATTTTATAGCACAAACCTCCTCAGAATTATATGTGCTGGCGCCACGCATTGAGTGGGATAGAAATGGGGAAGAAGGACTGACCTTTCCTCCCACGTGGAGATGGATTTGGGTGTTGGAGATGCAGGACTGTGTAGCTCTCTCATGTCAGTGTTTGGCCTTTGCAATAATGAAAGTGATGATGAAGGAACGAGGGAAGAGGGGGAGTGGGAATTAGGGAGGTTTTAAGATGATTTGGTAGCACTTTCCTCACTGCAATCACGATGAAGTAGAAGTAGAAGTAGAAGCAATCCTTTGGCATTGAGACTTACTTCATCCATGCACCTGTCTGTTCTATCCATAGGTGGGTGATGTGGCACTGTGGCAGTTGGGGCGACTTACTAGGCTCTACCACGCAAGACCGCAAACAAAAATGTTATTTAAAGACCTAGTTGGTGGCGAGGAGGCAGAGGGCAAACTGATTTGAGAGAAACAACAAACAACAGTAGCAATCACTGCAGGGAAGTAGGCAAGTGCATGTATTCTAAGTGCCTCTCCATAAATGAAGTGGATTGCAAAACCCATTTGCATGACGTTGTTGTTTAGTCAACATGCACCCTCTCCAATGTGGTTTGCTTACAAGACGCAAAGTGGTGGATGTTTTGCCATCCACTTCAACGGTCATGTAGAGGCTGGTCTTGTCAATGCTCAATTTGTGCCACTCATTGTTAGCCACGGAGCAGATTTTGGCAATAGCCAGTCTTTGACGTGGTCCAAAGCGTTGCACAAGCCAGTTGTAGAAGTAGGTGTGAGCGAATTGACTGATGCGACCCACACGGAGGTAGACCTTTACACACTCATCCGCCTCCGCTCGTATCACAATCATCTCCGATCCTGTTTGACTTGGTGGTATTGCAAGCATGATGCCTATAAGGCATGACATTTACAAAAGAAGGAGCGTGACGACAGCAATAAAGGTAACAGCGCGTGATAAGAGCGTCTACCTTCGTCAGTTGATAATCGTAAAAAGATTAGCTCCATACTCATTTTGCGTTTCCTCAGCGATTCAGCACCCGTCGGACCAGCCAGTCGTATGAAGGCCTTGCCATTGAACTCCGGAATTATCGTTGCCTCTGTAAGGAGGGATGGAAACCTCTCTGTTTCAATGCTGTCTAATCTACGTGCTCATTTGGAAGGTATAAGCACTTAGCAAAAATTCAGGTTATTATTAATTTGTTTTTGTTGTAAAAATGCACTACTACTTATTTGGGGGAAAAAAGTAGGCGAAATGCTTGGAGAGAAATGGAAGGGTGTTGGGACGGGGGAGGGGATGGAAAGGGGCTGTTGTCGGGCCAACACGACCACTCCTCAGTTGACCTTTAAGAAATGCTTGCAAATTTTTTTTATAATAATCCACTGGCATTTCAAATTGCGTCACATAATGTCGAACTTTTAAAAAT